TGTAGCCATTGTGAATTCCAAGAGGTATGCTAATCATATACTAAATCATAGATCCAAAAGGTCAAGCAAGAAACCACACCGAAACGGCAAATAGAGCTAAAACAGAATACATAATTTATAGAACTAATTCTAGAAAATTAATTGATACAGTGTAGTAATGATGAGAGATGTCCAATTCCACGGACACCAAAACTGATTCATTCATTTCAAAATAAACGAGAACTAACTCAGTTCTAGCATCAAATCATTCATAAATCAAATCACAGCTGCTCATTGTTCTCCCTTCAGCTTCATCATACATATCGCTTGTATAGTTGTGACATTGTGTGTGTTGGGTGTACTTGTATGCGCATATCGAGATGCTAACCTCCATGAATTAGTTTAGTGGACCTGGAGGAGGTACCAGAAGCGAAGTCCTCACGCTCAACAAGGCCAACTCGGAGACCGCGGGTGGAAGCATCCAGGGCGACGCCGCTGCCTGTGGCGCCACCGCCAACAACGAGAATATCGAGAGGATTGGCAGCGCTGGTTCCGATCAAAGCCGCCTCCTGATCGGCTCGGCGCGGCAAGACAGCGAAAGGGTCGGTGATCTTCCTCTGCACGGCATCAAAAGCAGAGTTGGTGCCGTGGTCGTTGGAGGAGAAAGAGGGGTCGCGGATGAGAGTATAAGCTCCACCAGAGAGAGCAGCGATCGCGCCAAGTCGACGCAGTCGAATGGCTGTGGACATGGTGAATGACGTTCGGTGGCGAACAATACCTGTCAGAAAGAACAGAATGGGGGGAACGATTCCCGGGGTGATAATGTTTTTCAATAATAATACTCCGTAATACGGATGATTCTGAAGTGCTGTATAAGTCAAATAACCCGCCCAAAACCAATTCGGGCTCAACTATTTTGAATCCCGGTTCAAACGAGACCATACTTAAACAGATCAGACCAAATCAAACCAGACATAAACGGACCAAACCATATCAAAATTTAACAAGCCAGACCAGACTTAACTTTCGTAATTATAAAATACATAGAGATTAGACTAGACCAGACCAGACCAGACTCAAAAAACAAACCAGACCAGACTTAAATAGACCAGATCAAATCAAACCGTCAAATTAAAGTCTAAGTAAAAACATCCTTATGCATAGTAACTTTGGGGTTTGGAAACTGTTTTCTTCGTCTCATTTGAATGTTTTCAATCCAAATCTTTTAAGTTCTATTTAATGTGATTTGAATTTTTCTAATTTTGTCTGAATTTTTCTGATCTTATCTGATTTGAATCTTTCTGATCTAATATGAATCTTTATGATTTGATCTCAATCTCTTCTATCTGGATCTTTCTAATCTGGATTGAATCTTTTTATCTGATTTGAATATTTCTGATCTGATCAGAATTTTTCTGGTCTAGATCTTTGTAAATTGATCTGAATCTTTTTTATCTGATCTGAATATTTTTTACTTGATCTAAATCTTTTTTATCCAATTTGAATATTTCTAAACTTTGTTGAATCTTTTTTATCTGATTTGAATATTTTGATTGAATGTTTCTCCTCCTCTTAGGGATGGACCGGTACCGGGTCTGGGAAATGAAGGCCCGGTACTGACCCGGCTATGTTCTGGCCCTGGGCGGGGCCCGGGTCGAGTAATATTTTTCTTTTGCTTATTAATTCTACCCCCCCCCCCCCCCCCCAAACACCCCCAAACTACCCAGCCCGCCTCTTACCCAAACCAGTCGAAAAAATCCCCCAAAAAAAATGGGCTCGGACCGGCCGGGTCGGGCCGATTCCAAGGGAGCGGCAGCCTGAGCCCATCCCCAAAACACCCCCGGGTCAGGTCCTAGGCCCGATCCAGGTTCTGGTCAACCGGGCCGGTCCGGTCCTGCACAGTGGCGGTCCGGTCGGGTCCCGGGCCACCCCTTGGCTCCTTATGATATGATGAGATGGTATATCCCTATCCTTTGAAAAAACGGAGTACTCCATATGTGTTCAAAATGAGGATTTATAAATTTTCTTTTTAGTTTTCCTTTTCTTTTCATATGCATACTAGTATAGGTTATTTTATTTTTTTTGAAAAAAATAGTACTCCCTCCGTCTCATTTGAAGGTTCTCATTTTCCTTTTCTGGACGTCCCAATTAAAGGTTCTCGTTTTCTATTTTAGGAAACAATTAACACTCTTGAATAACAATATAATCATCAAATATTAAAAATAATATATTTGTAACATTACAGTTATGATCAATAACACATTATATTATATATTCATCAAAATTATTTCTCAAAATATACTTGAACTAACATATTTAGTTATTGTCTAAATAATCGTGTCATTTTGCCATAGGAATCTTTGAACGAAACAGAGGTAGTATATGTTATTAGGAGGAAGATAGCGTGCATTTCAACTAATACAACACAAAGTTGAGATGAAATTAGACAAAATGGCCCCAATATTACTGTTGGTGTTTGCATTTCCAAAAGTATTACCCTTTTTTATTTTTTTCTAAAATGTGACATACGTTAGTTCTCGTTCGTCTCAGTTATGGGTGGACCGGTTCCGGTTCGGGCCCGGTTCGGGCCTGGGCCCGGCCGGGCCTCGGTTCAGAAATGGGAGGCCCGGAACCGGCCCGGGTAATCCCGGGTCCGGGCCGGGCCGGGCCTCGGTTCTATTTTTTTTTTTTTTTGGCTTTTCCTAATTAACCCCTAACCCTCCCCCCTCACCCCCAAACCACCCCAAACCACCTCAAATGGCCCAAAATACCAAGCCCAACCCAAAAACTTAAAAAAATTCAAAAAAAAAATAATAATAATTTGGCCCGAACCGGCCGGGCCGGTTCGCCAATCAAAGGGCCCGGGCCCGAACCACACAGTAACCGGCCCGGTCCGAACCGCCCCCGGGACCGGTTCCCGGGCCGGGCCGGTTCAAACAGTAACCGGGCTGGGCCGGTTTCGGGCTGGGCCGGTTCCGGGCCGGGCCGCCCGGCCCGAGTCCATCCCTAGTCTCAGTCCTTCGCAGCACCGAGCACTTCTTCTCCAATCTCCAAAAAGCTTCTTCTCCATTATGTGACTCTTCCAAAAAGCTTCTTCTCCAATCTCCATGCAGCACTTCTACTTCGCCCATGGCAGCGGTTCTCCATTTCCAGTCCTTCGCAGGATCGAGGAGAAACTTCGTCGTCGATGATCAAGTTTGATGATCAAGTTTGGTGTGCATAATATAACATTAACTATCATATGAATAGCAATAATACTAATTTTTTATCCTTATGAAACAGAGTACATGGATGCCATATACAGCTCAGATGTTAGAGGACTTGCCCCGGCAGGACGAGAGCATTATCATATATGGCGAGCACGTGTGTGTTGATATGTTTTGACATTGTTGAGCTTCATTTTCCTGATCGTGTACATAGGCAGTTTGGCTATGGGTAGGTTATTTCAGCACCTGTCGACACATGTGTAGATCTTGATAGGGTGGATAGGTGTGGGAAGCATACAGAGGATTGATCGCTCAGACATGTCCGATACGTGACTATATGGGACTATGGGAGAGGCGAGCGGAACTTGTTGTGACTGAGACATCGACATTACTCTCATCTGTTTCGGGAGACTACATGGGATGGTATTACAACATCACGCGGTTGTTTGTGTCTCCTTCTTTCAGACTTCCTACTCACCTTTATCAGCCTAGCTCCATGACTTTGCACTTGATGGTGAGTGTACTACTAATTACTAAACTAATTCATGTTCTTTATTTAACACTTTTAATTATTTCTAACTAATTATAATTATGTTTCAAATTTCAGACACGAGTTTTGCAGCGTATACATGAGCGAGCAACTGCCACAGTGAGTGATATGCATGACGTGGACCGTACGGCCAGGTTCTGACGAACATTGCTTCCCTGTGTTCCGATGTGTTGGAGCGAGTCAACTATGGTCATCTTATACATATGACCCGCTATCAGGATTCTATGGCATTGACATCTAGCGCAGTAGCAGCTTGTACATCCCAAACTCAGCGTGACAGAGTTGTTCTTCAACCACGACGACGACGTAGGCGTATGCGTCAACAACCACATCTCCATGACCAAGACGATAAAGAAAACCATGAAAACTTGTAGTTCGTCTTTATTATTGGACTTATTCATGTACACCGAATGTTGTAGAAACACTTTGCTTTTTTACGTATTTCCACTTGCAAACAATTGGATATTGTGTTATTAGTACTTATTCCTTTGTTTATGATGTGTTTGGTTATGAATATTGGATGCTTGTATTGTGTTTTACTGGTTATGAATATTCTGTTCTGTATGTTATTTGTATCAGGTATGTTACTAGTGTTTTGTATGTTTTGTGAGCAGGTTTTGTATATTTTGTAATGGTAGGAAACTGGTTGTTTGAGGGTGTATTGGTTTTGCAGGTGCAGCCGTGCAAGGGGAAGTCATCAAACTGTTTGGCAACTTATAAGTCGCCAACCCGAATGACGACTTTTAAGTCGCCAAACCGAATGACGACTTTCCCCAACCCAGGATAAGCCCAGCAGTATATTGGAAAATAGTTTGGGAAAATGGAAACTAATAATCCAACCTTTTAGCGGTCATCTTTCAATAATCCCACTTTTTGATTATTCGTGAATAATCCAACCTTTGCACCTCATCTTCATTCACTGGTCCCTGACCGGTTGATGACCTGCTATTCCAAGCTATTTTCTTATCTTTGCAAATCATTATACCATAAATCTCATCTTTCACTGTTTCACAAAGATAATATTTTGCAAATATAAGAAAATAACTTGGAATAGCAGGTCATTAACCGATCAGGGACCAACGAATGAAGATAGGGTGCAAAGGTTGGATTATTCATGAATAATCAAAAGGTGGGATTATTGAAAGAAGACCGCTAAAAGGTTGAATTATTAATTTCCATTTTCCCGCATAGTTTTAACCTAACATTATTTCAGTATTTACTTAATTATTTAATCGCGTTAATTCGAAAAAAAACTCCTAGGAACTGGGGAGTAAAAAATCATTCTAGCAAAATACCATAGTAATCCGTAATATAGTACATAGTATTAGTTAAGCAAGTTTATTTTCACTGTACGTTACAGCGACTAGAGCACGTTGCTGCCCCGACAATCTACCCACGGTTAAATTTGGATTTTGGAGTAACATCTGGAGTTTGACATCCCCAAGCCCTACAAGTCCAACAACATGGCATGCAGTAAAATAAAGAAGGTAAGAAGGGGAAGTTAAATGAGGCCAGGGGACAATGACGGCAACAACCACCGTGGCTCCTCTTGAGTGGCAGCCACCTTAGAGTACATTGCAGTAACAAATGGTCAAATGCAACCACAACCAAAGCCACAACAATCAGATCCGGCCATGTAGTAACTCTTCTCTTGCGTTGCACTCTAGCCACCGATGCTTATAATTTGGGTCATCAATACTGTATGACAGCAGTGGGCCCAGTGCCAGTTTCGGAACCGGATCAAACCAGGACCTTGCAGATAAAATACTGGACTGGCTGTCCATTTTTATTATTCTCACGATATACCCCTCGTTAATATTTGTTAAATTAAGTTTAATATACCTCTTAAATTCAATGAAAGTTGTATATAAAATTAATTTTTAAAATATAATATAATTTATTATCACAGTTATAAGTCATTGTTGATGATCATTTGTTTTTCTACTTAACTACTCGATCATGGAGTAACTATTAAGAGAGTAGTCAAGGGGAAGACTCACGAGTCATATTCATGGGATACATAAAAAGAATTTTTTATATAATGTGTGATCTTAAACCTAAAATATCACATATTTTAATTTATTTTAAAAAAATTGTTAATAACTCTGTTACTAATTTGTGATGATTTTATCTTTACAAAATATTTTTTGAGTGTAAAAAGTTTATTCGTTTTATAATATTGGATGATATTTAATTTTTTAAAATAAAAATATTAAAAATTCATGATATTTTTATATCTTACTTGCTTTGTGATTATTTTCACTTAATTCCTCTCAATAATATTAATTCCACGATGGAGTAGCTAAGTAGAAAAACAATGGTCAACAACAATGACTTATAGTTATGATAATAATTTGTTTTACATTAACAATTAATATTATAGACATTTTTCATTGAATTTAAGAATTATATTAAATTTAAATTTAACAAATATTAACGTGAAGGGGCAAAAAACGAGAATGATCCAAACTCAGGGGGTAACTAGTTGATTTTTGAAAATGCAAGGTTGCGTTAATAATTATGACATAACCTTAGGGGGTGAATAGTAAATTTCTCTTTTTATTATTCTGGGCTGAAGTGGGTTAGAACTGATTCCAGTGAATCCATAATAGCCCGGGGCAAACTAGTTCAGGTTTTTTTTAAATACGATATAAACCAGTTTGGGATCAGAAACGGACCCATATCCAGACTATCTGGTCCTGGTTACAGGTCACTCATTCTTTGGACCCTGAACCGGCTAGACCGAAACCGGAGCTCGACCAGGTGGTCCAGGTCCACCTATATTTTAGGAACCTTGGTAGTTAAAGGCATCATGCTTTAAAAATCATTTAACTCAAAGAAATCTCAAGTTCAAAATTTAAAATTAAAGAAACCGTTTTTATTTTTCGCTTTCTAAAACTTAAAAACAGCACTCACTTCGGCATATTCTTCACATGCAATCCACCTGACCTCCAGAAATAGCTTTCTTGCAGAAGCAAGGATATCTTAGTATCTTACATGTATCACTCATCCCTATTCACCACGCCTCCTGCATCTTACATCTGCAACAAGATGGCGAATGCGAGGGGCATACCACTTCACTCTCTCCATGTGTTCTACTGAAATGTCCCAAACACGACCTAAGAACATAATCCAATACCCTTAGTTTTGTAGAGAAGAATAACTTAGATGGCATTCTTTATAATGCTTATTTACATCTCAAATAAATAAAGGGGCAAATAGTGTTCTTGTACTACCTTTGTCCTGAACTGCAAATTATAAGCTCCAGTGATAATAATGTTAGAAATAATGATGAAAATATGACAAAAATGAAGTATGCTCGTAACTTTAGTGACCAAGATTATGTTTAAATTTATACTGTAGTGACTGTGATGGCAGGAGCATAGGGAGGAGCATAGGCAAGGCAAATAAATTTTTACACATAAATTTTATGTGTTCAGTTGGGCCGCAACAAATAATTTCATAAGATAAATTTTTACACAAAAATTAAAACAATTTTTCAAGTTTGGGGTGGGCCATAGCCCCGCAAGGCCCCTACCTACACCCCTACATGGGGGTATGCTCATAATAACTTTAGTCACATTTTTATCCCTAAGATTTATATCATTAATGCCAAGCACCTTGTGATTTGATGGCATCAATGTGATACTCCCAAGGAGGAGGTCATAGGTTCGAAACCCATCCCAATCAAGGATGTTGGCATTTAACAAAACAGATACTATGAGAAAAAGAGAGCAAAAAAAAAAATTATATCATTAATATTTAAGAAATAACCTCATAAAGTTAAATGTTTTATACTACTACATAATATTTAAACTAACAACAATATCCAAGCCTTAATCTCAAAAGAGTTTGGGGTCTCACTAACATTCAAATCAATATCAATAATTTAAAATTATGTATATAAAAACTACACTGGTTGATAATTTACCCACCTTCGGATCTGGCGATATCTTCAATAGACTGTAAAACATGTTGGGTCCATGAGACTTCTTCCGAGTCCTTCACATTCCCGTGAATGTGCATCACCCCACCCTCTTCCCTGCACTTCGAAAAGATGAGTTACAGTATGAATAACAAGTAAATCCAAAACTATGAACATTTTTGTTTGGCTCCATTCTCTCTTACAAACCTTATCAACCAGTGTTTTGATCAAACACTGCCTTATGTCACTGCACTGGCTGGCTGTGGGTGGGAGCATGAGTTAATTTTTGGCTAAAACTAGATACTTTTACTTTTATTTTAAAAATTATTCCCTTTAATATATTTAAATAAATTTATATTTTAAATAATTCCTGTCAGATAATTCAACAAATCCAGCCAATCCATCAGCAACTTTGGCAGAAAAGCAGAACCAATAACTTCATACATTTTAATCATACCAAATGGACTCTCTGTTTTGGCTGTCTAACTATGTTATATCTTAAAATACTATCTACTAAAGAATATCTGGAGAAGGAAGAGAAGTGTAACAATTATAAATTGAAGGGGCCATTACACTTAGAATTCTAGATACACAGGAGAATTTTGTTAGATTTAACAGAACATTACAGCAACAAAAACATCCAAGCCTTAATCCCAAAAGAGTTTAGATTTAACAGAACATTAAGATGATAAAAATACCTTAATGTTCTCACAGCAGTGACCCAACTTCCCTCACTTGACGGCAAGAGCCCAAGGCAAACACGATGTGCAACACCCTGCATATCCACCCCCAAAAGACAAGCAAAAGAAAATAATATTGTTACTATGCTGAACACGTAATTAAAAACAAAAACATGGAAGGTAAACTGCCCACTTTTGGTGCTACAATTCGATTGTCTCCTTCAAGCACTACACAACGATCAGCCACGAGATTTTCCTCAAGGTTGTTGCGGAGTGCCTCAATAGCCATGGGGTTCCACTCACAAGCGTATACCAGCTTGGCATTAGCCCTGCAGTGAACACAAAATATATTATGTCGGGGGAGGGCTCAACCAGAAAGTTATATTTTTCTTAACTACTTCAGCTTATACAAAAACACACTTTTAAGTAAATGGTAACCAATAATTCTGAAACCCATTTTATCTAAAAATCAAATGTTAGTGTGAAACACCTCCTATGGGTAGAGACCTGCCCGAGGTTTAAGGTTCAAACGGAACAGCCTGTTTTTGAACTGGAACATAAACCGCGTAGTACCTTCGGTTTGGAACTGGGGTTCACTAATCCGGTTCGGTTCTCCCAAAATCCGGATCCTACGGGTATGATTTGGATCCTGGAAAATGCTATAAAAGGATGTGCTAAGGAAAGTTATCTCATTATTTGATTTTTTTGCTCTGTATATAATACATATAAATAAATTGAGTTCCAATTTGCATTTAAAGTAAATTAATTGAGTTCCAAGTTGGATGTCACCATGCGCCATGACAACTATGGTCCCAACATACATTTAACATAAATTAATTAATTGAGTTCGAGCTGCTCTTCAAAAATTTATATCCTTCCAAATTTATACTCTTCCAATTTCCCTAGTATTTATAAGTTCCAAACAACAATTAAAGACATCAGATTTTATATTGCTACAGAAATTTGAAATGGGTAAAAATAGTATTACCTCACAAGGAAGGGAAGCACAAAATATCCAATCCCAGCAAATAAATCCACTATAACTTCATCTGTACAGTCAAGGTGGGCCATTCTTAGCTTCTCACAGAGATTGCCCCAGGAGAACATGCACTTTGTAGCATCAAATGAATATAAAATTCCATTTTCACGGTGATGTACCCACCCATTATCTCCAATTAGCATCTCCAAATTACTATCTCTTGTGCCACTTGGAGATATTCTGCCCTGCAAATTTTGGCACACTGCATTAGTAGTTTCTTTATATACAAAAAGTACAAAAAGGTGTATGATTAATTTGTTTTACAATTCAATTATTGATACATTTTATGGTCACTTTTCTGCAGTTTTCCTAACAGTATTGAAAGTAATACCTCTTTTTCAATGGAATCTTTCTGTACAGTTTGAATATTAAAGCAAGATTGATCCATTATGATGCTAGAGATCTTTAATCTTTCTAATAAAGGGTATTAGTCACCGATCTGTATTTGAGATGGAAACGAACAAATGGAAATTTTTTATTACTTGACTACTGTAGGTCAATAAGTCCCCTACATAAGTTAAGAAAATGTCAAAGATGGGAGAAAATATTCAATTGACTAGAAGAACAAAAGCTGAAAGATATTCCGAAACTACATTACTTCTCCAATGTGACACCTATTTTGTAGACTATTATAGATATTACACAATACATGATATAAATATATAATTCCACTTATAGATGTTTGAAACATCTAATAAGCATTGTAAACTAATTCAATCATTTACTTGTGCATAATTTTGTGATGCAACTTAACGGTCAATATGTTAATCAATGATAATAACTAAATCTTACTTGTCGAGCAAGCCGGCGAGCTCCAAGTGACTTCGCAACCGCACTCCAAAGCTCCGTCCCAATAGAATCCCACTGAGGATCCTTGAAGCACGTCCTAGGAAGCACTACAATATCACCCAAACGCTCCCATCTAAGGGAAAAAGTATTGTTTAATGACTTAAATCATATATATCAACAAAAACATGTAAATTTTCTTAAAAGAAATAAAAAACGAAACTTATGAAACCTTGATGGTAGCTGATCTAAGAGTTGTAACGGCAATCCCCTTTGACTGATTAAAGAGACTACAGATTCCTTCATTACTTCTAAAGAAGTGTTTGATGCCTTTTTCACTTTTACAACTTTATCTTCAATTTTCGTTGCATGACATTCTGTAAGAACTTTCAATGCTTTGAATTCCGTTGAACTGGAAATATCTTTTAAAGGATTTTCACTTTCAAAGATCGGTTTTGAAGAATCGAAATAAGCAGAAGAGTCTGTTCTCTTATCAGGAAATATTGAGGAAAAAAATTCTGTCACAGGCAAACATATATGTATTCCATCATCAAGCGAGTAAACCTTTCTTCGAAGATCTAACCATCCAATTTTTTTCAAAACGTCTTTCACCAACTTTGCATATTTTCTTTCAATCCTTATAGCCCAAAAGGAACCATCAATAGATTTTCCACTTTCTTCACCAGATTCTCCAAGCTCTCCACTTTTCAGTGACAACAGTGGGAAAAGGTTTATTTTCACCGGATCACTGAACTTGGTACCAAATGCGTAACATGCAGCCCCACCACCAATCATGATTAAGTCATCACCTATAATGTTAGCAGTGCTTCTAACTAAAAGATCATTTTCTAAGGAATTGACCACAATATGCTTCCATTGGTGTGAACGCATATCAAGCAAGGACAGTTCATATTGACTTTGAGTAACGGGACATCCTCCGATAATGCCAATAAAATTCTTATAAACAAACATAGAGTGGGAAAACCTAGGACTTGGCAGTTTACCATGGATAGTTTCCTTCTTCCAGAGAAGCGTTTCTGTATCAAAACTAAAAAGGTCACCTAGGGGTTTCTCCCCATCATATCCCCCAAATATATATAGTTGGGTTCCGTATGGAACCATGGAGTGGGAGTGACGGGGACATGGATGCTCTCCTTCGGCTTGATGTTCAGTCCATGTCATGGCTTCTGTGTCAAGTACATGTAATGATGACAATATAACATCAGCCTGAATTCCTCCGAATATATATATTTTTGAACCCACCGCTGCTGCTGCATGTCGATGTCTGCATGATAAAGTGTTCAATTTTACAGAAAATAAATTAGGAGGTTACACCACAACAGCAGGGGTAGAAAGTCTCTTCCTTAGGAAGATGATGATTATTTCAAGGAAAATGAAAATCATATCTGATTATTTTGGCTTACAATTTGAGTGTCGTCATCAGTTATCCATAATATGCTAACCATAACAAGTTAACAATTTACAATCCTCCAAACACATAGTACTTTTAGTAGCAGTAATGTACCAAACACTGAAATAAAAATAAGACCATTTTCTGGAATTTTTCTTAAAAACAAGCAGGGATGAATAATAATTATAACAACAACACTAATAAAGAAGCTAGAAATAAAAAAGAATAATTCTGTATCACAGGTACAAAAAACGAAGACATCTAATGCACTTAGCAGAGCTAAAGTAAAGATGCATAGCAAATTACCTTGGTGGAAATAAACAGCCAGAACACTGCAAGAGCTTCCATTCTTTCTTGTTCAAACTAAAAGCCCACACATCATTCAGAATATTTAGTGGGTCAGCTCTTCCACCAATCACATACATATGCTTTCCAACTATTAAAGACGTATGACCCACACGTGATAATGGCATTCCCTGAACATCAACAACTTCTAATCTACTGAATTCTAGGTCAAGAATCAGCAAATCGTTTCTTCGTGCATGTCTGCCTGGACCTCCAAACCCACCAAAAATGAGAACCTTCTTGTCAAATGCATCATCAATTGCAGAAGCAGAGTGACCCCACAGGAAAATCCTTTCAATTGACTCGCCAGTGATTAGCATTTGAGTGCTCGATAGGTTCAAACCAAAAACCAACGATCCTGTCAATGATTTAAAGATTCAGATTGGCTGTCATATTTTAAGGGAATGTATCCTGCAACAAGACATAGTAGTTAGACTATTACCAAATTCTTACGCATTTACATGTATACATAGATTTATGCGTAGAGGGTTGTGAATGAGTTTGAATTCTTTGTCTTATTTAGTTCAGGCATTTCTGGATCCTGGAAAATGCTAGCAATAGAAAAACAGTGACAAACGAATTAGTTTCTTGTGTTTGGTTTTAACTTGGAATATGTAAAATAAAATGAAACAAGATTAATGTTTTATTACTCCCTTCCCATAAAGGTTTGGCCAATCTTGACTTGCACGTGGAATAGTAAGGTAAAAATTGTGTGATTGAAATTTGAGTAGAAAGAGAAATAATATGAACCGCAATTTTGTTACTTTGAATGGAAATGCAAATCTTTTTGGGACAACTAAATAGGGAAGGTTGGAAAACCTTAGTGGTAGGGAGCGAAGTATAATTTAAAGTCTTTATATAATGTAAATAGATAGATACAAATCATACAATGAGTTTGAGAAAATGTCAATACAAAATTTAGTGAGTTCCAACTAATGTTTTATTTTCAAATTATACTCCCTCTGTCCCCTTTTATTTAGCCAAAAACTATTTTTCAAGTCAATGATGTTAAACTCTGACCAATTATATATTTATCAAGTCATGGTAATATTGATAATATGAAAATGATATGAAAATGTTCTTTGTTAAAAATACTATCATAAAAGCATAAAATTATTAAGTTTCACATGAATATATCAGTTAAAATAATGGATCAAAGATGGTTAAATAAAAAGGGACGGAGGTAGAATGTTCTTTCCATGATACACCCCCAGTTCCAACATACCCTTGGGGATAAAATTCACAGAAATTAACAAGATGTTTGCACTTTGCAGTAAAGAAGTAAAGCTACAAAACAACTCACCATACACACAGAAATAGAATAATCAATTCAATCTAATGCCTAGAGATTGTGCTCTACTGCTCTCTAAAGTCTAAATCAGTAAAGTAAACATGCAATGACATTGCATGCTATGCCAAATCTTCAGCCCTTGTTTGGTTGGGGAGGGGGGGGGGGGGATGAAGGGGGGGATGAAGGGGAGAGTGGTATGTATGTTATTGATTTATTCTTACATTAGATGGTTAAAAATGAAGAAATACACTATTCAATCAAGTATTGTATGTAGTTATTTCCTAATCTAAGACTAACAAATAGAGATAATCTGATAGAAAAAAGCCTCCAATTAAGTCAAATCTATAAAATAATATAACCAATAGCAGTATCACAAGACCATAATACCAGCCAGCATACACACAACAAAAGAAAAGTAGAAGATATGGTCAACTAGCGAGTCAATTCACAAAGAAAGTTCTTAATTACCACATTTTGTATCATTCAAATGTGTGGAAGAACTTTCCAAGAATTCTGACTCGGGCCCATCCAGACAAGGTGAAGATTCATCACTATCCACTTCATATTTGCCCAAAATCTCTCCATTGCTAATATGATGCCCAAAAGATCCTTTCTTTAACAGAGCATCAAGAAACCCATCAGTTCTCTTTCTATTAGCACTCATCTTCTCATTAGCAAGCTCAACAATATACTTCAAGTATTCCGTCGAAACCATTAATTTCTGGCTATACCCCAAAGGAGCTTCCAATCGAATGGAGCACCTGATAGCTATTATCACTCTCTTTTTAGTGGCACTAGTGATCCCACTCTCCCTAAACCCACACGATATGGCCAATGAGACCAACCACTGAGCCGCTTCCACGTCTTTACACTCAATGGCAATAATTAGAGGCTCGAACCTGAATACTAGGCTGTGGTGTGGATCGACCTGAGTCGACTCGCTTCCAAACAGAAGTGGTAAAACTGAGTTAGGATCAACTGGGTCGTGTGAGATGAAGACCCATTTCCCACCTTTGGCCTTTTTAGGGTTGGTTGAAGAAGGTGTGGTGGGGTGGGCGAAGATGGAGATGCGGCCGGAGCAAGAGCTGGTGGTGAAATAAAAAGGATGGGAGTTGATGGTTGTGAGTAGGGGAACGATGGGTGCGTCTATGCTGCCTTTCGGAGATTTGTCCGGCTCCGGCGAGTTCATTGCAGCTAAAGTCGCAGCTTTCCTCTTGGCAAACTCCATCTTCTTGGCCGAGGTTCAGAATTTCTGACTTCATGCCTCATTCCTCAGCGTTTTGTGTTTATATACCTCGTGCTGGGCTTATATTTTCGAGGCTATGTTTGCTATTGCTTAAATTTTAAAAAAGTGATTTTGAAAAGTGATTAATGGTAAAAGTTGGGAGTGTTTGAGAATAGAAGTGATTAAAATGAAAAAGTTAAAGTTGGAATGTTTGGTAAAAAAATGATTGTTTGATAAAGTTGGATAAATGAGATGGTATAATTTACAAAATAACCTCAAAAGCAGATAGAAGCAGCTGGGAGTAGCTTCCAGCTTCTACCCAAAAGCACTTTTATAAAAGCTAAAGCAGCCTTTTGCAATCACTCCAAATTGCTTTTTTTTAAAAAAAAGCTAAAAGTGCTTTTCACAATCAAAGGAAAACACAGCCTGAGTTGGACTTGAGACACATGCTAGCCATTTTTTATTGTGCAGACAAAACGTATTGGGGGACAAATACATTTTGTCCAAAAAAAAAAGTGTCTATACAGACATTTTGTCCGTACATACAAAAAAGTGTCTATACAGACATATGTAAAAGTGTGTACACAAGAAAAAGTGTATACCTTTAGAATTGCGACAGGTACCCTTCAATGTGGCCGGATTCCCTTTACACTTAACTTATAGTCTATATCCAAAGATGAGTGATGCTTGGTGTACCCCAACTTTGTGCACAAAATGTACACTGCTTGTGTACATAGGCATTTTGACAGAAAATCTTGTTCTTTTTCAAACGAATTGCCTGTCTGTTGGGATAATATCCCAGGCCCAGTGCCATCGGCCCGTTATCCCCGAGCTCTGGCCCAACTAGGCCCAAGACGCAGTCTCACGAGCGGGAATCGCCCCTTGCTCATTTATTTATTTATCAGGCCGGTTCGCCCATTAGCTTCAAGATGTATTATGTATTTGGGCCAAGCCCACGTAGGTTAGACTTTGGACTTGTGATGGATGCCTATAAATAGGCCATCACCCCCCATGTATTCTCTACGCTTTTTCTACTATACTGAAATGCTGCTAGTTTCTCTACCCGGGTTATTTTCTACCAACATTGGTGCTTTCATTGAGAGCTAATCTCTCATTTGTCGGTAGAACTTGGAAGAGAAAATAGCACTAACTAGTGAAAAACTATGAAAAATTCATTATAGTTTGAGAATTGAGCCAAAATTGATTCCAGAGAAAGGTTTTTGCATTTAAAAAAAAAAAACAGATCTGAAATCTGCGAAGGCCGGCAGGGGAAGGCTTCGCACTTTCGCAGTCCGCACCAGACCCCCCATGGAACTCCAACGTCGACATGGACATCCCCGTCATCCACATGACCTCAGCAGCGGCGGGTGCGGAACATGCCTCACCTACTGGTCCTATTCTCGAAAATCCGGATCTGCTATCAAAGCTTCAGCCATTAATGGCCGCTTGAGACCTGGCGAAGCAGATTCAAGGCCATAGCTTCCTTCTCCATGGTCGCTGCGACGGTCCCTGCGAACTCGGATCAATAGGTGTCGTCGCCACTATACACAACCCGAGGTGCCGCAGTCGTTATACAACTCGAGGTGCTAGCATCTCATGACCTCCTGGGAAGCGGCGAAGCAGAGCACTGCCTCCGCCTATCAGCAGACCCGGCAAGGCCTCAACCAAGGATGGACGAATTCTGAACTCAGTTTAATATTCTTCCTTACCCAGTGGCCCTAGTCAAAGCTCTATCCAATATGTATGGCAGAAAGGAGGCGTGAAGAAGCAGATTGGAGAATTTTGACCCAGTCAAAATTGGTCTACTAAGTCCTAATCTAGCATCCCGATTTGTTGACCCTTTTTATTTTGGTTTTTAGTTTTTGATAGGTGTGACATCCCAGATCTAGACAGGTGGGACAACCGACTCAATCGCAAAATAGCAAGGATGAGAAGTCTCCTATCACTGTGTATGCTCGTACTGTCCCAACGTGTTGTGCACTCGTACGCCCCGAGCATAACCCGGGGAAGATGCCCTGGACCTCTTGTGTGCTAACGGGTGAATCCACCCATGGCCAGCTTAGAGGAGAGCCATGTCGTGCTCCGCGCACGAACCCGACATAGCTTGACGTTGGGGTGCATGTGCTCCAGGAAGCCACCCACACTCTAGAAGCTTTGGCTCAATGGTTCCATAGGTTGATATTCCGGGAGAAGGGCGTACACCGGAGCTATTACTCGAAGGCTCGGAAGCACCGTTGCTAAAGGAGTACAGACTTTGCAACACGGAGCTGTCACATGATGACCCAGAAGCACCATTTCCAATGGGTACAAACCACCGAGTCACATCACCCCTAGAGACTTGGAAATGCCCTTCGGACGGTATGAAGGGAGATGTACCAGCACGGATAGATCTCGAAGGGAGTACGTGTCTTGACAAGCTGAGTGGCCAGGAAGGAGGCCCTCCCGAGAACACTCGTCCTGGGAAGGAGGGGACGATTCGTCTCATCACTCCCGTCGACCGGGTAGGCGAGTTGGCTCCCCAGGAGATGTATCGGCACAGACGTACCAGCACAGATGGATCCCGAAGGGAGTAGGTGTCCTGACAAGTTGGGCAGCCATGGCAGCCAGGAAGGAGGCCTCCCGACAACAATCATCCCGGAAAGGAGGGGACAATTCGTCTCATCACTCCCATCAACCCGGGTTGGCAGGTTGTCTCCCCAGACGGACGCCATGCTGAATCTCGCCCTCACGTACGCGACAGGGTTGCCGCGAGTTCAGCTCCGTGTTGGACGCACACGAGCAGAATCGGCACCTGATTAGGTGGAAGACCTGATGCTAAGGCTGGACAAGTTGAGGAGAAGGGTCATCGGGGGAGATCCATACGTGGTCGACCTCCACATCCCAGAACCATTCACTCGTGATGTGATGGAAACACTGTTGCTAAAGGGGTACAAACCTTGCGACGTGGCAGAAGCCAGGAAGGAGGTCCTCCAGGCAACACTCGTCCCGAGAAGGAAGCAAACACCGTTGCTAAAGGGGTACACACCTTGCAACGTGGCGGCAGCCAGGAAGGATGCCCTCCCGGCAACACTCATCCCGGGAAGGAAGGAAGCACCGTTGCTAAAGGGGTACAAACCTTGCAACGCGGAGTTGATACTCGGAGTCCTGGAAGCACGTTGCTAAAGGAGTACAGACCTCGCAACGCAGCGATAGCCAGGAAGGAGGCCCTCCTGATAACACTCGTCCCGGGAAGGAAGGAAGCACCGTTGCTAAAGGGGTACAGACCTTGCAACGCAGCGAAAGCCAGGAAGGAGGCCCTCCCGACAACACTCGTCTTGGGAAGGAAGGAAGCACTGTTGCTAAAGGGGAACAAACCTTGCAACGCGTGCTATTACCTGAAATCCTGGAAGTATCGTTGCTAAAGGGGTACAAACCTTGCAACGCGGAGCTGTTCGTGAAGGTCCAGGAATATTGTTGCTAAGGGGTTACAAACCTTGCAACGCAGTGGCAGCCAAAAGGGAGGCCTTCCCGGCAACACTCGTCCTGGGAAGGAAGGAAGCACCGTTGCTAAAGGGGTACAGACCTTGCAACGCGGGCGGTTACCCGAAGTCCTGGAACCACCATTGCTAAAGGGGTACAGACCTTGCAACGCGGTGACAACCAGGAAGGAGGCCCTCCCGACAACACTCGTCCTGGGAAGGAAGGAAGCACCGTTGCCAAGGGGTACAGACCTTGCAACGGTCAGCTGTTGCTCGAAGTCCTGGAAGAATCGTTGATAAAGGGGTACAGACCTCGCAACGTGAAGCCATTCCACAAGGGCGTGCAGACCGCCAGGCTGGGGCAGAAGACGCCAAGCAGAGGAAGAAAGTGAAGAGTTTGGGATGGGATTCAAACCCCAGGCATAGGAGGGAAACAAGGAACCTCAACCAATGGGCTGAACTGTCAAAGTTTTCATCTGTTGACGTGCGACGCCATCATGTGCCAGCGCCATCATGTGTCGGTGCCGCCGCGCGGCGTTGCCACTCTGTGCCGCCGTCGCAGTGTTCTGCCACCTTGTGTCGCCGTTGCTTGATTATCTTTCTCAAGACCGATTCCTGGCGTTGACGTCGTTACCTCACGATCGGGCTCCCCGTTCCCTTCAGGGATGACGATCGTCGTGATCATGTTCCGGGCCGGCTCCTCAGCGCCGACATCGTGACTGCACGATCGGGCCCCCCCTTCCGGGATGGCGGCCGTCGTATTCGTGTCCGGGAAGGTCATCATGACTGCACGATCAGGCACGCGAGGAATCAGGTGATGATGTTGACAGAAGATCTCTGGAATCAAGTGTCGAATCCTGGAGATTCTAGGGGTAAAATTGGGTCACGGTCACAACATGCAATCTGCCCGTGATCGCCTTAGAGGTGAGCCCTATCGTGCTCCGCGCATAAAGCCGATACAGCTTCATACTGGGATGCAAGCGTTCCGGGAAGCCACCACATTCTAGAAGCTTTGGCTCAAGGATTCTAGAGGTTAACGCCACAGGAACATGTACATAAGCGTTGAAGTCACGTTATTCTTGTGGACATGGAGACATTCCCCGGATAATATGAAGACGCCCTATGACGCATAGATTCACAAAGACGTGAGAGCATCATTCTCAAAGGGGTACAAACCTTACAACACGGAGTTGTTACTTGAAGGCCTGGAAGCAAGGAGGCCCTCCCGTCTGGTGACGTGAAGCAAGGAAGCATCGTCGCCAGAGGGGAACAAACCTTGCAACGCGAAGTTATTGCATGTCCAGCTTCAGAAAAGGAGCTCAAGGTCCCTGTCGTTAACAACAACAGTACAAAGTACGAGGAGGGTTAGCTCTGTATTGAACCCACCTTTAAGTCGAAGAAATCCATATCAACCCCGAGAGACGGGAGCGGAAGATCAAGATCAGTGCAGAGCTCCCGATCAATCTTATTAGTTGAAGGTCACGATGGGGAACCTTGCAGATCAAGTGTAGATTGCAGGACGCTTGGTCAAATCCTAAGAGTGGAGCATCCCAAGCTTATAGGTCAAGTGCGGGGTGCCGGGAACCCTCTCTAATCCTAAGAGCGCAGAACTGCAAGCCCGTTGATGAAGTATGGATTGGAGATTAGCTCTCACACATTCTATGAATCAATCATCACAAATTGTAGATCAAGTGCAGAACCGGAGCAACTCCTCAAGTTCTCAGATTCTTTCATCACTTAAAAAAAAAAAAATCGTTTTCCAGTCTGGAATTTAATGAGGTCCGACCTCACTTGGATTAAACGGGCGGCGGCTAGAAAAAAAAAAAGAAAAAAAAAACAAAAAAAAAAAAACCAAAACAAAAAAAAAAAAAAAAAAAAAACAAAACAAAAAAAGAGAAAAAAAGAGTGTATATATATCACGCCCCGCTCTCGGTGTTTAGTCGACCACGGCTCGGCTCTCGGGCAAGGAAATGATCATACTACTTTCTAAGTCCGGGGTTAGCTGCTCGGTCAGGGCAATTGTAGGACCGGCTTCCGGGTCGAAAAGGTATGCGAGAGGTCGCGCCCCGAGCCCCTCTCGTACATCCGTAGTCTAGCATTGCTGTCTAAACAGCTCGCATGCACGTATGATCCAATCAACAATGCGACAACTATATGACCGGTCTTCGGACCGAAGGAATGCGAAAGGTCGTGCTCCGAGCCCCTTTCGTACATCCGTTGTCTGACGTTGGTAGGCTTAGCAGCCCGCATACGCGCTTGACAGGATCAACGGTGCGGGTCCGTTCTGGTCTGATCATGCAGGGCCTTGCCCTTACGTTTGGCTGACTTCAGTTCGACTTTCAGAAACGGAACAACCAAAAATTTTCCTAAGTATGAAACTAGCTGTACAAGTCAAGGTGGTGTAAGACCGACCTCCGGGTCGAAGGTATGCGAGAGGTCGCTCCCCGAGCCCCTCTCATACATCCGTTGTCCAATCACTGGCCAAACTGCTTGCACAACTCGTTGGTCCAAGACCGACGGTGTGCGGGTCAGCCCCGCCTTACCTAGCAGGGCGCGGTCAAGGTTGACCTTGTCAACCTTCCGCCCCTCGCGGCCTAGGTGGGGAGCCAGATCCCCGATAAGTTGTCCAAGTATTCTTGAATGAAAAACGACTAAAGAAATTTGAATGTACGAACGGTGCATACATACAAGCTCAAGTGATAAATCAATCACGGAGAATAAGTTCGAGATCAACATTACCCATCTTCTCCGCCTCATCATGGCTAGTCTGCGTATCATGCCGGCCACAACTAAAAGAGAACAAGACATCTTTTTGTGCCAATTACAACCCTCCTCGGTCTGAAGCCAATCATGAACTTGCTCTGCACGGAGAGCATACGTCTGGGGAGAAACGGGCTTCTTGAATTCCTGGGATGCTTGGTGCCCCACATCTTTAGTCCGGGAAGCAGGAAGCTCGGAGAACTCCTTAGAAGCTTTGAGCACCGCAATTGCTTGTTGCGCTGCATCCGCAAATGACGCCTTTACTTGGTTATACTCGACTTCAGCTGGTCACACTTTGATTGGAGATTGATCAGGGCTCTCTTATCCTCTTCATTGCATGCGATAAGTATCTTCAAGGCTGCCTCCGCTCCATCTGCATGCTGCCGAGCCTGGGTAGCGTGAAGATGGGCTTAATCAGCCTAACGCTGGAGCTCCGTATGCTGATCTTTCATAGCGCGGAGCAATGCGGCCGGATCCATCACTCCCTGCAGAGAAAAATGATCAGATGACATGAAAGGTGGTTTAGCATCTCTCTTTGTAGCCAAGGCAGCAAGTTCGCTTTTCCGACCTGGCACATCTGCAAAGAAACGAA